ACATACAACTATCTACTGGGGCTTTGGGGGAAAAAAGGAGGAGGATTGGCATGGATGTTAGCTCAGGGCTGATCTTCCTCACAAAAAAAAAAAAAATAAATGAGGAGGACAGATAATTTTAATTAATTTTCAAAGGCAGTGAGAGAAGAGATTTACTTTAGTAAACATGTATGGAGCTTATTTACTTCTTCCTGTGACTCACACCATTAGTCTGTCAGATTTTAAAATTTCAGTTAGCTGTATGAGCTTGAAGATGGTTAATGAATTTTGAATGAAATCAAATACTGCTTACAGAGACCCCCATCACCTCATAAATACTCCTCCTCCACTGAGAAATACTTTATATATTTCATCAGAAAAAAATAAAATAATGTAGAAAGTACAGGCCCCCTATAATTCTACGCCCAAGAGTTAGTCACTCCTAAGAGAATGGTGTATTTTCTATGCACATACTAACATACATACATATACAACTTTTTAAAACAATAATAGGATCATATTATAATACTGTTTTGTAAATTTTTTTCCTTAGTACATCTTATAAATATTTTTTATGCCAGCATATGTATATATACACCATTCTTTTTATTTTATTTATTTTGTTTGTGAGGAAGATTAGCGCTGAGCTAACATCTGATGCTAATCCTCCTCTTTTTTTCTGAGAAGATTGGCCCTGGGCTAACATCCATGCCCATCTTCCTCTACTTTATATGGCACGCCCCCACAGCATGGCTTGACAAGTGGTATGTTGGTGCGCGCCCAGGATCCAAACCTGTGAACACCTGGGCCGCTGAAGCTGAGTGGGCGCACTTAACAGCTATGCCATGGGGCCGGCCCCTATACCTCATTCTTTTTAATAGCTGCATAGTATTCTATTATAGGAATGACAAATTTATTTAACTAGTCCTTTCATTGGTGAACACTGGGGTTTGTTTTTTTTCTCTTACCATTATAAACAACACACCTTTACAAACCTGTGCAAATATTTCTGTAATAAATATTAAAACTCAAAGGATATGAACATTTAAAATTCAAAATGTATTTCCAAACTGTAATCCAGAAACACTTTACTAATACAGGTTTCCACCAACAAGACTCATAACTGCTTTTATTCATTCAACAATTAATTGCTGATTTCCTACTACAAGCCAGGTGCTAGAACTTAAGAGTTGATACGCAATTCTGGTCCTGAAGACACTTCACTTACATCTTTAACTGTGAAAGAATGACAAACTAAACAACAGTTATAACTCAGTGTTGCTAAAAGAAGAATGCAGAAGATACGATGGGAATATTGAGAAAGGGAAATCTAACCAACTTTGAGGAGGGAAGAGGGGGATTAAGGGGAAATACCCGACCAGAGGAGCAAAGTCTTGAGGAAGGCTGAAGGGCACAGGTGAGGGAAGGGCATGCCAACTACAAGAAACGGCACATGTAAAGGTTTAGAGGTATAGGGAGAACATCAAAAGTTGATATAGAAATAATATTATCTATAGAATAAAGCCTTTAAAATTATATTTTTCTGATTCTCTAACATTTTGCCAATTTCCTCAGGTATTTAAAAACACCTCTTCAAACAAAAACATTTAATAAGTTAGAAAGAAATCTGTATGTTTTACAATGTCATCTAATATTTTGACTACTAAAATATTAGAGAAAAGGATTAATTAATTTCTGAGAGTCAGCAGTGTAAATGTAAATAATAAGATAGGAAGTTATGTTGATTTAAATAAAAAATAAAATAAAACCTTCCTAGATCAATAATTACAAATAGTTAAACTTTAGCATGGAAAAAGCTGTATGAGTACAAGAAATTCAAATAGGAAAATAAAAAGACTTACTGTTAACATGTGAGTGTCTAATTCCGGAGGATCAATTAATCTAGCTACTGACTCCATAAACACAAAAAAAGCTATTACCATTAGAAAAAGTCCATTAATAAATCCAGAGAGAATTTCTATTCGGCCATACCTAAAAATGTAGAATATATTTTTAGAAAAAGAAAATGACAAGTATTATTAAAGTATAAAGATTATGTTACAAATGAGGAAACAAGATCAGATTTTCGACTATATAAATAGTAAGATTAGAAGATTACCAAGATTTTAAACGTCATACTAATGCTGGAAGATTCCGTACATATATCTGTTTGGTGAAATTTTATATATTTATTGAAGTTCTTTTTCAATGTTTCCTCTTACACAAAGTCTTTCCTAATTTCCTAGCAAGAAGTTATTTCTCTATCCTTTAAGCTCTTGATATGTTCTGTATTTCTGTGACAGCACATAGATTCTGCTTTGTACCAAAATTATTTGTATTTTTGGCTCAGCCATCTTTCAAAATATAAACAGTTGAAAATAAGAGCTGAATTTATTAATCTATTTAGAGTAGGTCTTATCAAAATAAGAGCTGAATTTATTAATCTATTTAGAGTAGGTCTTATCAAAATAAGAGCTGAATTTATTAATCTATTTAGAGTAGGTCTTATCAAAATACCTTGCACAAATCAGGGATTCTAGTATTTGCTGAACTGAATTATTCACTTAATGCAAGGATACTTTATGCATAGCCACTTCAAATTCTGAATACTCTTTCTAACAGCAAAGATGTGAATGATCATGCACATTCCATTGCCTCAAAGAAACATCAGGCAAAGAGCTCAATATTTAACGGACTTTTGCTCCCTACTTATAAGAGGGATGTGTCAGGGAGTATAATCTTGAGCTTACTGTCATTCAGTATTTATCAAACAAGTGGTTTACTTTCTCTTATTTACTTCAAATTAAAGAAGAATGAAGCTCTGAAAAATGATTTGAATTAAAGTAAAATTTTATTCTTTGCGCTAAAGATTTTTTCACTGTGCTGTATTACCTTGACAGTCAGTGTACCCACCCATAAGAGAAAATCCGCGTTGCTTTCCACCTACTCATCAGGGCCGCAAAAAGTCCCATGACCAAAGCAGAGCAGTCGAAGAGCATGTGAAATCCATCTGAGATCAGACCCAGACTATTGGTCAACACGCCATAGAATAATTCCACAAAGGTAAAAAGCTAAAATATGTTTAAAAAAAAATAGGGAAGGAATGTGTTGGGAAATACTGTTTCAAGAGATTTATCAGAATTTAATCACAAGGATTTTAACCCTTACTTGAAGATATGATATAACTGCCTCTTTAGTTATTTAACTGGCACTTATATCAGAAACCTCACTGCATATAAACTGTAAGAAACTAAGCTAAGTCAGATATATCCATCTTAGACATTACTTAAAAGGAGATAGTTTTATTTATGTGTCTATAGAACTCAATATGCCTATCAAGCCATGCTGTGGCAGGCGTCTCACATAAAATAGAGGAAGATAGGCACAGATGTTAGCTTAGAGCTAATCTTCCTCAGCAAAAAAGAGGAGGATGGGCAACAGATGTTAGCTCAGGGCTAATCTTCCTCGCCAAAAAAAAAAAAAAAAACAACCCAATAAACTAAGCTATAAAATGTTAGCAATCTGGTCTGTATTGAGATCCTATAAAGAATAGATAAAAATCTTTAGAAGCTACTATATTTACTGATTTGAAATAGCACACTAGGGCCGGCCCTGTGGCTTGGTGGTTAAGTGCGCGCGCTGTGATGCTGGAGGCCTGGGTTCTGATCCCGGGCGTGCATCGAGGCACCACTTCTCCGTCCATCCTGAGGCCGAGTCCCACATACAGCAACTAGAAGGATGTGCAGCTGTGACATACAACTATCTACTGGGGC